CATCTGAACAAGAAGGCTGGCTCCATCAAACTCAGACCCATACCTGCATCATTGAAGGAACATTTAGAGTGAGTCACACAAGAGAGAAAAATCTCAGGCTTCTAAACTCTCCAGCCATAAACTAAATGTCATGTTTTGCCACTCACACATATATCAACCAGTGAATAATTATCATCATTTTCACATTTCAGACTTTCAAAAAAAAGACATTTCTTTACTGTTTATAATTGAATAGTTCAAGAAACAACTAATGATATTTGTTCTCTGATCCTCGTTTCCTGCCATATTTAGATTATTTTCTTGTGAGCAGTAGTTTAAAAATTCCCTACATGCACAAAAGTGCTTTTGTAACTAATATAAATGTGGGATTTTAGTTTTCTGGATGTCAATATGGACACGCCTGTTTAGGAAGTAGAAAGGTCTTTAGAGTTTTTTTTATTTCTGACTGCCATGACTAGAAATACAGTGTATAGTTACATCTGTTTGACTGCTGTGACTAGAAATACAGTGTATAGTTACATCTGTTTGACTGCTGTGACTAGAAATACAGTGTATAGTTACATCTGTTTGACTGCAGTGACTAGAAATACAGTGTATAGGTTACATCTGTTTGACTGCTGTGACTGGAAATACAGTGTATAGTTACATGTGTTTGACTGCAGTGACTAGAAATACAGAGTGTATAATTACATCTGTTTGACTGCTGTGACTAGAAATACAGTGTATAGTTACATCTGTTTGACTGCTGTGACTAGAGATACAGAGTGTATAATTACATCTGTTTGACTGCTGTGACTAGAAATACAGAGTGTATAATTACATCTGTTTTACTGCTGTGACTAGAAATACAGAGTGTATAATTACATCTGTTTTACTGCTGTGACTAGAAATACAGAGTGTATAATTACAGCTGTTTTACTGCTGTGACTAGAAATACAGAGTGTATAACTGCATCTGTTTGACTGCAGCTGTATCTTTTATGTTGCAGATTTTTTAAACAGAACTTAAAGTCTTTGACATTACATGGCTTCAGAATTGCTCTAATGTGCAATGCTTGTAAGTATGTGAATGTTTTTGTGCTTAAATATTTCTGCTTTCATTAAATATTGTTAGTTTATTTGAATTCAGTACATATTCATGTAACTATTTGTTGATCTACACTACTAATGAAGTATATTTAAGGACAAGGAGTTAGCGATCAAGCTGAACCCTGATAAAATTGCTGTAGCAGCTATCTGAGAACTGAAGAGATGTCCTCTCCTTCTCATCTTGGTGTTCACCAGCTGTAAACTCCAGAGAAAAATTATGGTGGTTCATTCATGTTTGAACATTCATTTTTGAACTTTTGTCCTTGTTCCAGAACTTGAGTTTTGATTGCACGTTCATTTTTACAGATCTGATTTTTTTTTTAAAATGCAGAATGCTGGTTCTTTACAGTGGGAAATATAGGGCTGAACTCACAACACAATGATGTTCGTTTTAACACACTTGTGAGAAGAGAAGACAAAGAGGGGACCAAGACAACAAATCTCAGGACAACCAGGCAGCTAATAGTAATTAAAAAGGTTCACCTAATGGTCCACCAGGAAATCATCACCTCCACCATAAATAAAAACATTACCTAAAACAGCTAATTAACATTTACATGCATGACTCCTTGGCTTTAGGCACAATTTGCAGTAATGCATTGGAGAACTCTGTTCATACATCATATGGAAGCAACAGACATTTTCTCTCATTCTGAACTTGTGATTTGAGTCAAAAGTCATAGTTTTTGTTAGTGTCTTAACTACCACTGCAGTGTCAATGTTCGTGTGAGATGTTTGATTGGGACATGTTAACCGCACACTTGTGCGCAGCTTGTGTTTGATGATTGGCAGCTTTCTGTCTTCCAAGATGTTAGTGTTATGTTTTGCCATGAGGAGGCATGGGACTCGCAGCCCATGACGATGGTGAGTAGCAAGACCAGCGCACATTAAGAAAAGCAACTGATTTCAGGACATTTGTTATGAACATTTGTGTTTAGTCTGTTCTTCTCAGATGCTCAGCTTTCATCCTTTCTGCAATCATTTCTTTCTTCATTCTCATTCCTTTCCTGATGTGCCCCCTCCACATAACACAGTCTGTGGCATTTTGTTTCCATGAGTCAACCTCAATATCTGTATAGCTTGTGTTTGGATCATGGTGAATTACTGAATGTAACTGCTGTTTTTAGACACATTTCAGCGTTCAGCGAAGAGTCGTAATGCAGTGGATACCGTCTCATTGTGGAGTGCCTGGAAATGAGAAAGCTGATCAACTGGCAGGGGAAGGTGCGAAAAAAGAGCAGCCAGATGTACCAGTCACATACCACCAAAAGAAAAGAATCATTAAATTGATCAGGCAACCACCAGCCCCAGCACAAGACGACTATTTTATTATGGACAGACCAGAACAAGTCATTATCTTCCGCCTCAGAACAGGGCACAACCGATTATGTAACCACATGTACACAAAATTCAAGATAGGTGTATCAGCCATGTGCACCTGTGGAAATGTGCCCCAGACCGCAGAGCATGTACTCCAGGACTGCACCGAATTTGACACATTAAGGCAAACCTTTTGGCCAGAAAGAACAACAGTGGAACGTAAACTCTATGGACCACTGAATGAACTAACAACGACAGTGAAATTTATACAAGAGACAAAACTGCTGATATAGATAACTTATTTCAGGCGAACGAAAGAAGAAGAAGAAGAAGACACATTTTTATTGAATTATTTTCTGTTTTGACTCTTCTCTTTCCTGTTTTTTTTCTCTGTAAATTGTGCTTTTTTTTTTAGTAACTAAAAATCTGTTTGCCGTTGTCTTACTTGAATATTGTCATCAATTACAGATAGCACAGACACAGACAACTTCAGTCGACCCATGGGTTTCCTGGTGGAAACCATCTATGGGAATAACAAGAGCACCACAATTCTTCCTGGCAATGTAGTTGCTTCGGCACCAATCACTCCACTACAGATGAGCTTTTTGGATTCTCTCACTGTCCATGCTAAAATGAGGTAAAGTTCTAGATCTTCAGCACTTACAAATAAGCAAAATTATTTTGTCCTTACTACAAACCAAGTTCTCAGCAGTCTGTGTAGGCTCGTGAGTGTTCAGTCTCAGTTAAGACTAAGATGCAGTTCAATAGATGGATGCAGTCACTAAAACATAAGACAGTCAGGCTCCTACTGTACCAATAAATGCTGATCCTGGAAATTGCCTGTAGTCTGGATGAGAGGCTCAGGATCAAAGCTGGAAAGCAAACCTAGCCTAAGAAAACATTGTCCAGAAGTTAGATGATAGCCCAAGCAACCTTACGTTGTCCAGAAGTTAGATGATAGCCCAAGCAACCTAACGTTGTCCAGAAGTTAGATGATAGCCCAAGGCAACCTAACGTTGTCCAGAAGTTAGATGATAGCCCAAGCAACCTAACGTTGTCCAGAAGTTAGATGATAGCCCAAGCAACCTAACGTTGTCCAGAAGTTAGATGATAGCCCAAGCAACCTATATATACTGTGGACAGATATAGTGCAGCTTGCATTATACTCAGGACAAACAAGGGGATGGGAATAACTCCTGATAGTTTCTTTAGTGTTTTTGTTATGTTTCCAGTGATTTTCTGTGTTGCTTATCTCTGTTAATGTTTGGTTACATTTGTTGTCATATTTCAAGAGCCTTTTGTTGATGGCTTTACCGATCAATGCATTATTTACCACTTGATGGTGGTTATTTACTGAGCTTATGTATCTCAGCAGCAGTAGCTTTGAAGACTAGACTATCTCTGACTGTCGTGTGCTGCATGTGAACTGATCCTTTGAAACTGACCTTTATTCATTATGTACCTATGTAACTTCTGTCCATATTGAATCAGCCAAAGTAGTGAATGAAGGCTAGATTTGTTTGCCTAATCTTTAGCAAAAGTAACAAATTTAATTCATTTGTTTTGTTTTTTAAATGTAACCTCTTCATGTAATATGTAACCCATTGCCAGTGGGAGACATTTAATTTTAGTTGATTCCATCTCAACTGGCAAGCAAGAGACTTCACATCCATTGTGTTTAATGCTTGCTCTGAATTTTCTTATCCCAATGCTGTGAAACACAGACAGCATGGAAAGAGGAAGAGTGCTTTTAATATGCAAAATTGTTGAGTATGAATTGTTCGTTGTTTGTTAGTCTCATCCACAGTATTGTGACCAGAGTTGTTGAGTTAGTATTGTTTGTTGTTTGTTAGTCTCATCCACAGTATTGTGACCAGAGTTGTTGAGTATGAATTGTTCGTTGTTTGTTAGTCTCATCCACAGTATTGTGACCAGAGTTGTTGAGTATAAATTGTTCGTTGTTTGTTAGTCTCATTCACAGTATTGTGACCAGAATTGAGTATGAATTGTTCGTTGTTTGTTAGTCTCATCCACAGTATAGTTACCAGAGTTGTTGAGTATGAATTGTTCGTTGTTTGTTAGTCTCATCCACAGTATTGTGACCAGAGTTGTTGAGTATGAATAGTTCGTTGTTTGTTAGTCTCATCCACAGTATTGTGACCAGAGTTGTTGAGTATGAATTGTTCATTGTTTGTTAGTCTCATCCACAGTATTGTGACCAGAATTGTTGAGTATGAATTGTTCGTTGTTTGTTAGTCTCATCCACAGTATTGTGACCAGAGTTATTGAGTATGAATTGTTTGTTGTTTGTTAGTCTCATCCACAGTATTGTGACCAGAGTTGTTGAGTATGAATTGTTTGTTTGTCTCATCCACAGTATTGTGACCAGAGTTCTTGAGTATGAATTGTTTGTTGTTTTTGGTTACTCACAGTATTGTGACCAGAGTTCTTGAGTATGAATTGTTTTTTGTTAGTCTCATCCACAGTATTGTGACCAGAGTTGACCAGTGACCAGAGGAATTGTTTGTTGTTTGTTAGTCTCATCCACAGTATTGTGACCAGAGTTGTTGAGAATGAATTGTTTGTTGTTTGTTAGTCTCTTCCACAGTATTGTGACCAGAGTTGTTGAGAATGAATTGTTTGTTGTTTGTTAGTCTCATCCACAGTATTGTGACCAGAGTTCTTGAGTATGAATTGTTTGTTGTTTGTTAGTCTCATCCACAGAATTGTGACCAGAGTTCTTGAGTATGAATTGTTTGTTAGTCTCATCCACAGTATTGTGACCAGAGTTCTTGAGTATGAATTGTTTGTTAGTCTCATCCACAGTATTGTGACCAGAGTTGTTGAGTATGAATTGTTTGTTAGTCTCATCCACAGTATTGTGACCAGAGTTGTTGAGTATGAATTGTTTGTTAGTCTCATCCACAGTATTGTGACCAGAGTTGTTGAGTATGAATTGTTTGTTAGTCTCATCCACAGTATTGTGACCAGAGTTCTTGAGTATGAATTGTTTGTTAGTCTCATCCACAGTATTGTGACCAGAGTTGTTGAGTATGAATTGTTTGTTAGTCTCATCCACAGTATTGTGACCAGAGTTCTTGAGTATGAATTGTTTGTTAGTCTCATCCACAGTATTGTGACCAGAGTTGTTGAGTATGAATTGTTCGTTGTTTGTTAGTCTCATCCACAGTATTGTGACCAGAGTTGTTAAGTATGAATTGTTTGTTAGTCTCATCCACAGTATTGTGACCAGAGTTGTTGAGTATGAATTGTTTGTTAGTCTCATCCACAGTATTGTGACCAGAGTTGTTGAGTATGAATTGTTTGTTAGTCTCATCCACAGTATTGTGACCAGAGTTCTTGAGTATGAATTGTTTGTTGTTTGTTAGTCTCATCCACAGTATTGTGACCAGAGTTGTTGAGTATGAATTGTTTGTTGTTTGTTAGTCTCATCCACAGTATTGTGACCAGAGTTGTTGAGTATGAATTGTTTGTTAGTCTCATCCACAGTATTGTGACCAGAGTTGTTGAGTATGAATTGTTTGTTAGTCTCATCCACAGTATTGTGACCAGAGTTGTTGAGTATGAATTGTTTGTTAGTCTCATCCACAGTATTGTGACCAAAGTTCTTGAGTATGAATTGTTTGTTGTTTGTTAGTCTCATCCACAGTATTGTGACCAGAGTTGTTGAGAATGAATTGTTTTGTTAGTCTCATCCACAGTATTGTGACCAGAGTTTGAGTATGAGTATGAATTGTATCGTTGTTTGTTGAGTCTCTGACCAGAGTTGTTGAGAATGAATTGTTTGTTGTTTGTTAGTTTCTTCCACAGTATTGTGACCAGAGTTGTTGAGAATGAATTGTTTGTTGTTTGTTAGTCTCATCCACAGTATTGTGACCAGAGTTCTTGAGTATGAATTGTTTGTTGTTTGTTAGTCTCATCCACAGAATTGTGACCAGAGTTCTTGAGTATGAATTGTTTGTTAGTCTCATCCACAGTATTGTGACCAGAGTTCTTGAGTATGAATTGTTTGTTAGTCTCATCCACAGTATTGTGACCAGAGTTCTTGAGTATGAATTGTTTGTTAGTCTCATCCACAGTATTGTGACCAGAGTTCTTGAGTATGAATTGTTTGTTAGTCTCATCCACAGTATTGTGACCAGAGTTGTTGAGTATGAATTGTTTGTTAGTCTCATCCACAGTATTGTGACCAGAGTTCTTGAGTATGAATTGTTTGTTAGTCTCATCCACAGTATTGTGACCAGAGTTGTTGAGTATGAATTGTTTGTTAGTCTCATCCACAGTATTGTGACCAGAGTTCTTGAGTATGAATTGTTTGTTAGTCTCATCCACAGTATTGTGACCAGAGTTGTTGAGTATGAATTGTTCGTTGTTTGTTAGTCTCATCCACAGTATTGTGACCAGAGTTGTTGAGTATGAATTGTTTGTTAGTCTCATCCACAGTATTGTGACCAGAGTTGTTGAGTATGAATTGTTTGTTAGTCTCATCCACAGTATAGTGACCAGAGTTCTTGAGTATGAATTGTTCGTTGTTTGTTAGTCTCATCCACAGTATTGTGACCAGAGTTCTTGAGTATGAATTGTTTGTTGTTTGTTAGTCTCATCCACAGTATTGTGACCAGAGTGATTAAACTTGCCAAAAGTAAAGCAGCAGCTGCACTTGCTCCCTCCCTGGTTGAGACTTACAGTCGTCTGCTGGTCTACATGGAGATTGAGAGCCTTGGCATCAAAGGGTTTATCAGTATGTACATCTCAAGTAGTTCTTTGTAATGTGGCTTTTCTTTATGGAAGTGCCTTCATGTGCCAAGTGGAATTCATTCCTTACAACAGTGAACTTTTGTTATTTTAGCTTATTTTCATTGACACTCAAGATCATATATGTTTTTTGTCGTTGAACTAGTTGGGTACTATTTAACCCTTTATCTGCTTCTCTCCCCCCCCCCCCCCCCCCCAGTAAAATAAAAACCAAACAACAATGCGAATGCTGCACGTGTGGTAAGATAAGAAACATAGAGGGCTTTATTCATGTAAGAGTAGGATACTGGAACTGTCAGAGTGCTAGGCAGAGAGGTCCTGTACTGGAGAGGCTGATTTTTGATGTCATCATGCTCCAGGAGCTAAATACAGATAGATATCATTGCCCTGGGTACGTCATTTATATAAACCCTGTTGGACAGGAGAGACATGGACAAGGTCTGGTGGTGAAGAAAGGAGTGGTGCTTGACTTGAGCCAGTGGAACAACAGTGGAAGAGAGGTTCCGGGGAAACAGGTGAAAATTGGTGGCTTAAGTTGGAACCTCATAAATATATATATATATATATATATATATATATATATATATATATATATATATATATATATATATATATATATATATATATATATATATATATATATATATATGCCACAGTAGACTGTTTAGACAGAAGGGAACAATGGGGCTGGCTCAAGGAATTGGAGGAATTATCAAATTATAGGTTACTCATATGTGGGGATTTCAATGCCAGGAATAGAGAATGGGACTGCAGCGGAGCAAAACGGGCAGAGAATAATGGCTGACTAGATTGGCAATGAGGTCTGGAGATGCAGACACAGCCCTTGACTTGATATTTGTCTCCCAGTCGTCAGTTTTAGATGTTAAATGGACTGTCCTGAATGACCATGGGAGTGACCACCTACCATGTTCAGTCCTGATTTCTAAATCCAGTAAGGTTAAGGCTGGGAGAGCATACAAGACCTTGCGGTATTAGTGGACCAACAATCCACTTGGACGCCTCAGTCAGGGAGCATGCAACAGGACTGCCAGAACTAATTTTCTACAGCCCCCATGGTGGACTCCAGAAGTAGAACAGGCATGTAAGGTAAAGAGAGCTGCAGTGAAGCAGCTAAAGAAAGTATGACAGACACCACCAAGCTCACGAGAGGAAGTGGAGATGGCGGAGAATGTGAAAAAAGATAAGGTGGAGATTTTCAAGCGCTGTGCTGCAGAGGTCAAAAGAGCAAAGTGGGAAACTTTTGTGAAAAGATCTGCCTATAACAGTGGGAACAGTTTTTAGAGACGATGGTGTGCATATGACAACAGACAAGGAGAAAGGGGAGGCTTTTCTCCATAGGTTTATAGCTCGGACAGGTTATAATGATGTAGACATCAGGGATGTAGTTAGAGAGGAGTTAGCTGGCACCATAAGGATTATGCACTATGAAGACATGATACGAGTAGAAGATATCAAACCAATTTTGAAAAAGGCAAAAGACACTGATGGTGTCAGGTTTGGCAACTTGAAGGCCTTAAGAAGACCTGGGAAAGATGACCGACTGCTTTAATCAGAGCATTAAGACAGCAACAGTACCGCAGGACTGGGTGCACAGCTATCTAATCCCACTGCCAAAACCTTTTTAAGGATCACAGTGGCTTTAGAATCATCACCTTACAAAACACATATGAGAAGGTCTTGGAAAAGATAGTTGCTGTAAAGCTGCAAGATTTTTTGGAAAGGGGGAAGCTTCTCCCAAGGGGTCTGGGAAGTTACAGGACAGGAAAGGACACATGGGCAAATGCGACCACCTTTGCTTTTGATGTCTACAAAGGGTTCCAGAACAGACAGGAAACTATGGCGGCAGCACTGGATCTCAAGGATGCTAATAACAGAGTAAGATATGACATCTTGATGGCTGCACTGAAGGAGAAGGCTGGTGAATTGGGTTGCAGCCGTTCTGTATTCACATTGGGTTGCTCTCCGACTGCGCTCATGGACCTCAGAACCATGCAGTTTGGTCCCAGGTCTGCCACAGGGATCCGCCATCTCGCCTGTGCTCTTTAACATGTATATGAGCAAGATTGAAAGCCTAGAAGCACCAGGAGTTTGAAGGATACTGACTTTTGCAGATCATATACATGCATATAGGCATAGGCAAGTGAGGGAAAAACAGCCCGGGAACCACAAGTGACAGTAGACAAAGTGACTGAGTGGTGTACAGCAATGAGGGCTGTCGTCCACCTGGAAAAGGCATCTGTTTTGTGGTGTTCTCTGGACAACAGAATCGTTAAAGCTAATGTCCCAAGTCTCACAATAAATGGTAGAAATGTCAACAGAGAGAGCGAACTGAAATATCTGGGAATAACATTTGTCAGGAGCCTGTCCTTTAAGGAGCATGTGGAGAGTGTTGTGACAAGATGCTAAAAAGGACTCAGTGCACTTAAGACTATGGCTGCAATTGACATAGAGCAGAGAATGCTTTTCACACTATATCAGCACCTGATCCTGTCAGTGGTTGATTATGGCCTGGGACTGCTTATCGTCTCAAAGAGTCTGATGGACAAACTAGAACGCATACAGAACGCAGCTATGCGGGTCATTCTGGTTTGCACCAGAGACACCCCAGTGGTGTGTATGCGATACATCCTTGGTTTGCCAACTGTTGCAGGTAGGCACAAGGTGCAGGCGAAGTCATATCTCATGGTAATTGCAGACACAGGTCACCCTTTGCACGAAGTTCTGGGTGCAGTTAAGGGTCAGCGGCTGATAAGAGGGAAGTCATAGATGGCTCAGGCAGAAGACACAGTCAGACAGGTTTGCAACCTTGAGAACTTTGGACGGGGAGAGGAGGGGGTCTAAGTGCCACCTGAACAGTCAGACATGTGTAGGGTCATAATCACATTGAGCTGGGATTGCAGAGACTGGCCAGCAGGTGCCACGGAGGTGGAAATTCAGCAGTTAATTTGAGATAATGCTCGCTCAGAGGATTTGATTTTTTACACAGATGGGTCAGTGTCAAGAGGCAAAAGAAGTGCTTGGGGTTTCTTATCAAAAGTTAATGGTCAACGTTTGGTGCAGGAGAGCCTAACATATGATACCACAACATCTAGCTCAAGAATGAAGGTGGAGGCGGTAACTGCAGCTTTCCGCTGGCTAGAGAACACAACACACACACACATTGTAATTGTAACTGACTCAGAAAGCATGCTGAGGAAGGTCAGGACAGGCATGCTTCGTGCAGAGTGGCATGCTTCGTGCAGAGTGGCATGCTTCACTGCGGAAGACACGGGTGAGGAGTATTGTCTGGATTTTTTTTCTCTGGAAAATGCCGGTGTGTTGGGAAATGA